GTGAGTCTGAGATGCCGACGTTTTGCACTTTCTACCCTCGCTTGAACAGAAAAAGCTCCGTCACGTTATGTTTGTGCGGTCCAAAGAAACATCCAAACTTCTCAAACGCAAAAAATAGGCGCAACGGATTCTACGTCATAATTGAACACCTGAAATTCCAGAAATAGCAAATAGATCAACCAAGGTTCTAGCCTTCTATTTTCTGGATCTAGTTTCAACCTTTCACTCGATTAGTTGAGAAACTAGTTGCAACTTCTTCTTGAACTAGTTACTAACTAGTTACAACTCGGTCTCAAAATAGTTACTGACTAGCTACAACTAATTCTCAAACTAGTTACGAACTAAACAGTGGCAAACAATCACGCAGTAAGTCATAAGGAAGATGAAGCGAAACCGTGGAAACAGCGGCGCATGCTGCCTTGCGCAACTGACCGTTCACAGCAGTGCCACAGCCAGGTCGAACTTTTTTTCGCGCGTTGTGCGTCACCGCTTACCCACAAAAAACATGCTGCGCCTGCACTTGGCACGCTCGTTTGTGCCAAACTACAGAGCCAACAGCTACAGCTACAGCGGGAATAGCTTGCAAAATCCACTTCTAGCTCCGAACAAACGAGCTCAATCGGAGCTCGATGAGGACGAGCTTGACTTTGCAGAAGCTTGCCCCTCGCGGGGAGCTTGCGCCTCACAGGTGGTATGAATGTGTTCTGAAAGGTTGCCATGTAGAGATGAAAGGTCACAAAGCTGACAAAACGCCAGGCCATGCAATGAATCCTGCATAATATCCACATCAGAAGCTTGCGCCTCGCCGAGAGCCTGTGCCTCACAGTTCATATGAATGTTTTCTGAAAAGTTTCCAATGTAGAGATGAGAGATCACAAAGTGGACAAAAACGCTACAACGGAAAACGTCACGACACGAAGGCAGTCTGCTTAGAAATTGCCAACTCCTGGCCTTCTGTTTTGCCTTTGGGGCCGCAGCTGCCTCCACCAGAGCTAACAAGTGGTATCGTTAGTGAGACTCATTTTCTCTGATCAGGGATTCCAGTTTGGCGGATGCTAGGAAAAGCACACGTGAGAGGACTCTGAGAGGATGAATTTGCGAATGTACAGCCTGTTTCACAACTGCACCAGTTTATTATTTTGTCTCACTGCCGTTCTTTCTCCGCTTACTCATTGTGGAAGTTTTGAATTCGGTTTAGTTACGGTGCATGCGTTTCGCTAAGGCATAGAGGGATGATTCCCCCTGTCTCGTGGCAATTTTGGTGTGGTTGTTTTTGTTGGGCCCTGGCCCCGTTCTCTTGTTGTTTCGCCGTTTTTTGTGAGGCGAAACGCAAATCTGGCTGGGGGATTTGCGGGTCGTCCGGTTTTTTTTTGGTTTCTGGGCTTTTTCCTGTTTTGTTTGTTCGGTCATTGCCACGAAATTTGACTGTACAGTTTGAACCATTCATTGCGTTCAATTTGTAATGCAATGTAATGCAATGTAATGTATGGTAATGTATGGTAATGTATGGTAATGTATGGTAATGTAATGTAATGTAATGTAATGTATGGTAATGTATGGTAATGTATGGTAATGTATGGTAATGTATGGTAATGTATGGTAATGTATGGTAATGTATGGTATGGTATGGTATAGTATGGTATGGCATGTTTGGAAAGTATGGTATGTTTGGTATGTATGGTAGGTATGGTAGGTATGGCATGAGTGGTTGGTATTGTATGGATGGTAGGTATGGTATGTAAGTCTGCTGGGTATGGTATGTTTGATATGACAGTATGTATGGTATGGTATGGTATGGTATGGTATGGTATGGTATGGTATGTCTCTGTCTGTCTCTGTCCGTCTCTGTCTGTCTCTGTCCGTCTCTGTCTGTCTCTGTCCGTCTCTGTCTGTCTCTGTCTGTCTCTGTCTGTCTCTGTCTGTCTCTGTCTGTCTCTGTCTGTCTCTGTCTGTCTCTGTCTGTCTCTGTCTGTCTCTGTCTGTCTCTGTCTGTCTCTGTTTGTCTCTGTCTGTCTCTGTCTGTCTCTGTCTGTCTCTGTCTGTCTCTGTCTGTCTCTGTCTGTCTCTGTCTGTCTCTGTCTGTCTCTGTCTGTCTGTCTGTGTGTGTATGTGTGTATGTGTGTGTATGTGTGTGTATGTGTGTGTATGGGCGTGTGAGTATGTGCGTGTGTATGTATGTGTGTGTGTGTGGGTGTGTGTGTGTGTGTATGTGTGTGTGTGTATGTTTGCATGTATGTATGTTATGTTGTGTTGTGTTGTGTTATGTTATGTTTGTATGTTATGTATGTATCTTATGTATAAAAGTTATGTATGTAAGTTATGCATGTAAGTTATGTATGTAAGTTATGATTGTATGTAAGGTTTGAATATATGTAGGGTTTGTATGTAAGTTATGTATGTAAGTTATGTATGTAAGTTATGTATGTAAGTTGTGTATGTAAGTTATGTATGTAAGTTATTTGTGTGTGTGTGTGTAAGTTATGTATGTAAGTTATGTATGTAATGTAATGTAATGCAATGCAATGCAATCCAATGCAATGCAATGCAATGCAATGCAATGCATGTACGTACGTACGTATGTATGTATGTATGTAATTATATATATATGTGATTGTGTACATATGTATATATAATTGTATGTGTACGTGTATATATATATATATAACATGCATCTCTATATATAATTACATATATATATATATACACATGTATTTGTATATAACATGTCGGTGTGTCTGAGCATGTGGTATATCGGTATACTGGATTTCGGGCTTTTCCCACAATTTTTCAGACCCAAAATCGTTGCCAACGGCTTTTTATTCCACTCAAATTTAACCGGCCAGGCTCTTGTACACGGGCATCGCGAACGAGGCGAAAGGCTTTGGGTCATCCGAATGTGACACTTCTATGCGTCCATCTGTGGCGATCTCAGTGACGATGATCCACCAATCGGGCGATGGGGATGGCAGTGGATTTACCCAAGGTTTTTTCATGATAGAACCGGGTGTATTTTATGGTACAACTACCAAGTATATTCAAAAATATGGGTGTCTGAAAAGAGGGCCAGGTGGGCTACCCAGAAGCATCAACCAACAAAATGGCATTTTGGGTGGGTTGAGCATCCTGACCAAGGATGCGAGTAAGGACTGATCATGGATGAACGGGTAACTTGTCTGAAAATAGGCTAGCCCTAAATCTGCTGCTTCATTATTGTAAAAGTGGCATAGTTAAGTCATGTGAAAAATCATGTTAAATCCACCATTTTCAGACACACCTGATAGGAAATACCTTCATGTTGATTATGTGCATATATATATATATATATAATTGTATATAATTATATATATCATATGTATCCCCCAACGTATGCTTATTATCTTATCTTATCTTATATCCAATGAACTCCCCATTTCCCATGGTCTTTTCAACTCCGCCCAGGTGCAACGGCATGCGATCTCCTCACGGCATGCAAAACAGACTGGGATCGGATGAGTTCAACCTATTGGAACTGGTAAAAAATGCTGAAAGTATTGAGGAATCAGTACCCTCTGGTAAACGTTTACATAACTATGGAAAATCACCATTTTCAATGGGAAAATCCACTATAAATGGTCATTTTCAATAGCTATTTTGACATAACCAGAGGTACTTGGGAACCGGCTCATTGTGAATTGATCTAAAATGTCCTGGAGTCCTGGGCTTTTTGAAGATTTTTCGAGAATACTCCGGTTTTGAAGATCTACTAAAAACATCTAAACGACCCATTCCAACGTCTCTTCCGAAATGTCACATGCCGAGTGTCCTGATATAACTCTTCGCCTGGCCACGATGTCCCATGCCACACCGAACAGGAAAGAAGTGGATAAATAAAGGATGACCTACCCCCAAAAAGATAGAAAAAACGGTAGTGAATCAATGAATTTACCACTTTACCACTACAGAATTGGATGTTACTTTTCTCAACGCTTGGGGCTTGCTTTTTTCACACCTCAGCGGGAAAGCTTAGCGCCCAGATGAGGATATACCAACCTCAGGTCGCAAAGGGGCTCCCCTTTTTTGGGCAGCTCGTTGTTGGGAAACTCGCATGGAAAAGCCAATCCAAAACCATGGGGGGTTACTGATAGGGTACCCTTCATAGGAAAACTCACATGGAAACTGAGAGGAAAACTCACATGAACCATGGGGGGTACTGATAGGAAAACTCACAAACGTTGACAAAGCTAGCACAAAATCCTCAATCCATGAGGCGCCGTACATCGCATTGGTGCCAGGCCGGATATGCAATGAACCTGGCACTGGCTGATTTCAGCCATAGCATCTGCCATGTCAAAACAGAAGGGACACAAAAGGGGCCAACAAAAGTCGCGAAACTTATGGAGCCACTGTGACACTCAAACGAAGTATCTTGAAGTCTTCAAATGACGAAGTTTGCCAGTCCCTTGACTTTTTCTGCCCCGGAAAACTACAAATTGACTCACAGCCAGCAGCACATCACCGCTGCACATCTGCGCCTTCTCATTAGGTTTCCCAAAAATCGAAAGGCTGCCCCTCTCACGAGGCTTGAGAAACAAATGGCACGAATGGAAGGGCGCTGATTTATGAACCGCGGCTGCCAATCTTTTTAAAGGAGGTATGTTGCAAGTGGCCCATTCTTCGTGAAAGCAATGCGCAATTCCTGCACTAAACGATACATACCTGCACCCAGTGCTTTTCCCGCCACAATTGCTGCTTCTGCTCAAAAATGTCTGAGCTTCCCGTGCCATGACTACTACTGCAACCTGCGTGCAGAATGCAATCTCTGTTTGCATGCTGCATGAAGATGATTATGTACACACAAATCATGACATACTTACTGTAGATGTTTGGCCATGGCCATGTCCCTCATCGGAAATATGTTAGTCTTAGTCCTATTTTGGTCCTAACTTCCATGACCAAACTTGCAGCTACTCACAGCAGTTCATCCAGGTGCCATCAAGCCGGGCTCCACCCATCGGCGCCTCGGCGTAAGTTCGGGTGACTTCGGCTGACTTCGGCTTGAGCCGAGATGGATCACCGAAATCATCATGTAGGACATGGCTTCCACATCATGTTGACCAAAGGGCTCCCTCCAAACCACACTTTCAAAAGTACAGCTCGTTTCTGACCTGTTTTTTTTTACATTTTCAGGCAGCAAGAAGCTTCTGTACACTGTACATCTGACAACAGCATCGCTTGTCCTTGGGCTTCTACCCGCCAATTCCCCCGACAAATTTCATGTCAGCAGTGTTCAAACCCCCCAGTCGTCCTTTTATACTGGTTCGCATGGATTGTGGTTATTGTTATTTCCCCAATCTATTAGATAGTAAAACATAGTAAAGCCATGTATAACCATGTATAACCCATATCAACCAAGCGGCTTTGGAAGAAACTGCTCAGTTTCGGGCCACTGTCGGCCACTGTTCGAGTCCCAACAAACATCGGCTGCGCTCCTCCAGACCTTCCAAGGCCTCTTGTGGCAGGTCGCCCTTTCGGATGGCCCTGGGTAAGACTCGAGTGCAGCTGAACGTGTCGCGTTCGTCGTAGTTGATGCTCCAGCCCGCCTCCTCCGGCAAACTTAAAAAAGACTTAGGAAAACTGTTGGAGAGGTAATTTATAGTATCTTAATGTTGGTTTATAATTTATAACATTTTATAACTAGGTTTACCTGGGGTTTACAATGGATAGCTCTATATAATATCTGGATATATCATGATGTATCTATAGCTACAGTAGATGGGTGTACAATTAAACCCAACAAACGTAACTTGGGGGTCCCTGCAGTAGATTTTGGTGGAACCTATGGGGAAATTGACACACATCACTCAGGTTTTGATCTAAGTCCTTGGCTGGGAACATGCGGATGTACTGGCTCAAGCGCATCTTGTTGCTATGGTTATGGCTGGAGCCATGTAGTTGTGCGCATGACCAAATCACCATCTCCCCTTGTCGCAAGGGTACAGGTTGCATATATCGCAGCAAAGGATCCTCCTGTGAGGCGCGAAAGGATTTCATGGTCTTGGAAACCTTCTCCAACTTGCGCTCCAGGCTCCACTGCTTCAAGAAATGCGTGCAGCCTGGTAAGGTGAGATGACAACCAGTCTCCAAATCCTGGTCCCTCAATGCCACCATTCCCTGGTAGCCTGGATGGCCTGGAATGCCTGGGTTGCCACTCTCAAAGTCTCGGAGGCACTGCCAGGGATTCAGGTCCCAGTGGGGTCTCAATCCGATCCTCCACCGGGCTTTCCCCTTGGCTCCTCGAGCTACTCCCCACTTGTCCACTGAAACATGCAGCCGGGACTCTTGGAAGATGCCGCAGAATGCTTCGTAGATCTTCTTGGAGCAGCGATTTGCAAAGGCTTGGGGATGCAAGGCCACATAATCCACCAGGAACTTACAATTGGAAGGCCAGTTCTTGTCCTCCCAAGTGGAGTGATCTTCCACATTGATCAGGGGACCCTCCAAGCTCTTCTGGATGCGGAGGTGATTGATCTCTTCAAACATGGCTTGCACGCTCTGTTCGCATTCATCTTTGGTCAGGACTTTCACCACGCAAAAGCCATACTTCTGCAAAGCTGCTCTCATACCCTCAGAATCACTGGAGTCAAAGCAGTGCATGAAACCATTCTCCAAGGTGGGATAGCGGGAAAACAAGCTCTGCCACTCCTCTTCAGATCGAATCTTCTGTGGTGGCCCCTCGACCCTCAATAAATCCACATGAGCATAGCGTACGAAGGACTGAAGCGATTGAGTGGTGTCAATGGAAATGGAACTCTCGATTTCCTGCTGACAGTGCCGGAACACCTCCTCTGGGACAGGCTCACCTGGATGCTTTTGCATCCATTCGCGCAGTATCCTTTGTGCCAGTTTCTGTGCTTCGTTCCACTGGGCTCTGCGCTCCATCTTCCCAGTGACGTCCGCGCCAGCTCGGTCCCTTCGGTCCGTTCCGAACAGCGTGAGCTTGGACACCAGGCATTGCAAACCCGAGAAGCAGGGCAGTGGCATGACAACCGAACGGACCTCCCGGATGGCAAGCTTGATTGGGACTTGCGGGCCATGAACACATCTGGAGTGATGGACAATTTACTACATTGTTGAGCACCAGAAGCACCGAAAATCTCCGAAAATCCTGGTGGTTCATGACTATCCAAATTTGGGCAGAATGGATGGCTACTCGGCTACTCTACTCTTCTCACAGCTGACATGCCTTTCCCAGCGCTCTTTTCTCTGCTAGGTGCAGGTCTGAAAAAAAACCACTAGCCTGGCCGCCTGATCAGTCTATTGGTTAGCCTCAGAAAAACGCCCCGCAAGTGTGCAACTCAAACCCGACAAGGGGTAAGTAACTGTTCAGGGCTGGGCATAGAGACAATGTAGCCACCATGGTTACTTGAAATAGAGTCTGACTTGGGAAACAGCTGCAAAAAAACAACTGCCCTGATCTGAAGTTGATGGGATTGGTCATGTTCCTTGACCAAAGCAATAACACCTGAAACGGGCCTTGACATTTGGACCTGTTCTACTGCGAACACCTGCATGCTTCAAGCAAGCTGCAACCCCCCCAAAATATATCGCGAAGCCCTCCATGATTTTCTCTGCCCATTCCACTAATCTCCCAGTAGTCTTCATCTTCGAAGAAATTTGCGGATTTTGCTGCAAAGTGACTTCAGTTCATCGCTCAGTTCAACCACTTGTTCTCCACCAACTTCCTAGCCTCGACGCAGGGAAAATGGTCCCTTCCACCAAGATGCACCAAAAATGCAAACACCACCACAAAGGCCAAAAAAAACAGGTGAAGTTGAAGAAGTTGTGTTTTTTTTGGCTGAGATCCCTATCTGTAAGAGGCTTCAGAATACAGTAATCCTGCCCGTTCATCAGGTGGATGACCTTCATTGCCCTGAGCGGGGTTACCCAAGAAACCAGGGTGCCATTGGTGCCAAAGGTCATTGGATTGATTGAACATGATTAACTGATGAAACAAAGACATGTAACCACAACGAAATGGTCACATCATGGTGTAAAACAGGGCTTTTCCCATATGTTTTACATATATATATATATAGATATCAATGGATTGGGTTAGGGGAAATCTACAGGAAAACCCCATTAGATACTAATGGATTCTAAACCCATGGCCTGGCTCACGACCAGGCCAAAGAGGAAGACCGCAAAGGTGAGGCAAATGGCCGTGCCATTCAACACCTCTGAAGTTCTGGAAAGTCCTCTATGGAATTTCCATGGTTTCACCTTCTCCCAGAACACTGTGAATGTTCATATGTATGTATATATATATATATACGTATATTTATATTTATTTATATATATATATAATCCCCTCAACTACTAGCCTGGGACCCTGGGAATTCATTGTAGACCCTGACATTTGGGGTCTGATATGTTATTCCTTCAGTTGTTCTGAAATATTCACAGATCAAAGTAGACCTACAAGGGGGGGATCCGTAGACAAAGGTCTAGCATGAAAGTACTTCTGCTCATGTCAAAAGACCATGTTGATCGAGATTTTCAGTTTAGACCTTTCAACCTTGACCTCACTGTCTGGAGCTCGACCTCACTGTCTGGAGCTCGAAGCTTGTCTTTTTCCCGCACGCGCTTTCCAGAAGTAAAGCTTGGCTTTTGGTTTCTAATGGGGTCTAGCAAGTTCTGGCCAGATATTCCTTTCCTCAACATCCACCAGTTAACCTTTGAGATGTTGTGTGGTTTAGAGTTTAGGGGTCCTCCTAGTCCTTCTGAACAGGAAAGGATGCGAGCATGGAAGCCCACCCAGGCAGACTGTGCATTCTCTGTGGAACTGGTTTTGGAATGATCTTTTGGGGAATCCAGTGGGTCTGGAATGAAAGTCACATGCTGTTGGCGATGCTTCACTGACGCAAATGCTTTGGGGGAACCAGTTCAGACCCATCCCAAAAGGTCTAAGTCTAAGATTTGGAGACTGTCAGCGATAGCCTCTCACCGGGAAAGCTTGGCAACCATGATTTCAGACCTGCGTTTCCACCTCCTGATTTTTGGATGGATTTTGGTTTCTCATGTGTTGTAGCATGTTGGCCAGATATTCCTTTCCTCAACATCCACCAGTGAACCTTTGAGATGTTGTGTGGTTTAGAGTTTAGGGGTCCTCCTAGTCCTTCTGAACAGGGTGGATGCGAGCATGGAAGACCAGCCAGGCAGACTTTGCATTCTGTTTGGAACTGGTTTTGGAATGATCTTTTGGGGAATCCAGTGGGTCTGGAATGAAAGTCACATGCTGTTGGCGATGCTTCACTGACGCAAATGCTTTTGGGGAACCAGTTCAGACCCATCCCAAAAGGTCTAAGTCTAAGATTTGGGGACTGTCAGCGATAGCCTCTCACCGGGAAAGCTTGGCAACCATGATTTCAGACCCTGATGCATTTCCAGCTCCTGATTTTTGGATGGATTTTGTTTTCTCATGGGTTGTAGCATGTTGGCCAGATACTCCTTTGCTCAACATCCACCAATAACCTTTGAGATGTTGTGTGGTTTAGAGTTTAGGGGTCCTCCTAGTCCTTCTGAACAGGAAAGGATGCGAGCATGGAAGACCAGCCAGGCAGACTTTGCATTCTGTTTGGAACTGGTTTTGGAATGATCTTTTGGGGAATCCAGTGGGTCTGGAATGAAAGTCACATGCTGTTGGCGATGCTTCACTGACGCAAATGCTTTTGGGGAACCAGTTCAGACCCATCCCAAAAGGTCTAAGTCTAAGATTTGGGGACTGTCAGCGATAGCCTCTCACCGGGAAAGCTTGGCAACCATGATTTCAGACCCAGATGCATTTCCACCTCCTGATTTTTGGATGGATTTTGGTTTCTCATGGGTTGTAGCATGTTGGCCAGATATTCCTTTGCTCAACATCCACCACTAACCTTTGAGATGTTGTGTGGTTTAGAGTTTAGGGGTCCTCCTAGTCCTTCTGAACAGGGAAGGATGCGAGCATGGAAGACCAGCCAGGCAGACTTTGCATTCTGTTTGGAACTGGTTTTGGAATGATCGTTTGGGGAATCCAGTGGATCTGGAATGAAAGTCACATGCTGTTGGCGATGCTTCACTGACGCAAATGCTTTTGGGGAACCAGTTCAGAACCATCCCAAAGGGTCTAAGTCTAAGATTTGGGACTGTCAGCGATAGCCTCTCACCGGGAAAGCTTGGCAACCATTCATTTCAGACCCAGATGCATTTCCCGCAACTCTAATTTGGTTTCATTGATTTTTTAAAGGCAAAAATGCTTAATGGTTTGCATGCGCTTCCAGAAGTAAAGCTCAGAGTATGTTCCAGGATAAATCCATTTGAACATATAAGATATTGGCAAAAGGTCTGACATGGATTTCCCAATGTCAAAATGTCTAAAGCTCGCAGGGTCTAACGTGAAAATACGGACGTACAAGTCAAAGGTCTACTATGACACCAACACAAAGGTCTACAATGATTTGGGCACCAGTCTAGACCCTCCATTCGGAAATCCCTAAGGGTCATGTATATTAGACCCTCAGTAGTTGAGGGTATCATATATATATAT